CATCCATCTCTACACCTTGTTATCTTTTAAACATTTTGATGTGAGCTTTTTAATTTGAATACTAGATTTAATTGAATCACTGTTTAAGTGAGTTGCTGGGATTGTACGTGACAGATTCTTGTCATCTAGGAACAGTCCTGGATTTTTACGGTCTAGTGAGACTATTAAGGGTCACATGGGTTTCTACGCAGGTTGCAGACAAGAAACTGTTTATTTAACTCATTCATAAGTTACATCTAGACGAACTGTGACCAATTCATGTATGTGTTTTGGATTTACTGTTTCATGGATCATGTTCTAAGCATTTTTGTTGGTCCATTTTAATGTTTGAGTATTGGATTCTTTTGGAGGATCTAAGATACTGTTATATTTTCTTCATGAAAGAAATTTTGCAAACCATAATTGAGAAGCTTTTTAATGTAAATAATTTGATTTGGCAGCTTAATAATAATTTCATGCAGTTGAGTATATAGCATCCATTTTGTAAGCTCAAACCCATTCCCAACGTACAAGATTTTATATCACACAGGGTGTCCTGCTGACATGAAATCTGGAGAGTAATTAATAACTTGGAGTTTGTGGAAAGCAGGAAGTCTTGACTTCAGTTGTTATTGATATCAATCTATATCTGTAGTATGATGTGCTTTCATTCACCTCTCTGCCCTTTTTATACTTCCTCCACAGAAGTGGTGACTCCTGGTCCTAAAGGGTCTCATGTGACTTAGCTAGATGCCTACGCTATCAAATTGTAGTCCAGCCAGGGGTTAGAGGGAGTCATCAGAGAACTGATTTTCAGCAAATCCCAAACTATCCTGTCCCCATGCTGACTGGTGCACGTCACAACGGGAGTCATGGGGCCAACCAGCTGATTTTCATTCACACATTATCCAAGAGTATTGCAGTAAATTATAGTAACAAATTGAGCTGGGATCGTTGTGGCCTGCATATCTCCGCACCAGCACATTGTGTATTTAACTAGTTAAGGCATCAGGAAAATGACTTTCATGAAACACAAATAATGCATATCTGTGATGGTACCAGAAATCTAAGTGATCATCCTGTTTAATGCATTGACTGTGTGCAAAATTACGTTTGGAAAATAAATAACCGATATTCTAAATGGAATAACCCATGATGTATACAAAACCAGAATATACTATGTCTTGGGTAGCAGCAGCATATGCTCAGAAAACTTTCAGTGGTCAGGTTTCCATTGAAATAAAGATGCTAAACTGGAACTCTACTGGAACAAATTAAATTTAAAACAATATTTGATAAATATATTTCATAACAGAGCACTTGGAAAACAGTAACATCATTCCTGACAAATCTTCTGGAATTTTTTGAGGCTGTAACTAGTAGAGCAAAGAACAAAAAAATTTACAGCACAGGAACAGGCCATTCAGCCCTCCAAGCCTTCGCCGATCCAGATCCTCTATCTAAACCTGTCGCCTATTTTCCAAGGATCTGTATCCATCTGCTCCCTGCCCATTCATGTAGCTGTCTAGATACATCTTAAATGACGCTATAGTGCCCACCTCTACCACCTCCGCTGGCAACGCGTTCCAGGCACTCTCCACCCTCTGCATAAAGAACTTTCCACGCATATCTCCCTTAAACTTTTCCCCTCTCACCTTGAAATAGTGACCCCTAGTAATTGAGTCCCCCACTCTGGGGGAAAAAGCTTCTTACTATCCACCCTGTCTATACCTCTCATGATTTTGTAGACCTCAATCAGGTCCCCCCTCAATCTCCATCTTTCTAATGTAAATAATCCTAATCTACTCAACCTCTCTTCATAGCTAGCGCCCTCCATACCAGGCAACATCCTGGTGAACCTCCTCTGCACCCTCTCCAAAGCATCCACATCCTTTTGGTAATGTGGCAACCAGAACTGTACACAGTATTCCAAATGTGGTCGAACCAAAGTCCTATACAACTGTAACATGACCTGCCAACTCTTGTACTCAATACCCCGTCCGATGAATGAAAGCATGCCGTATGCCGTCTTGACCACTCTATCGACCTGCGTTGCCACCTTCAGGGTGGAATGGACCTGAACACCCAGATCTCTCTGTGCATCAGTTTTCCCCAGGGCTTTTCCATTTACCATATAGTTCGCTCTTGAATTGGATCTTCCAAAATGCATCACCTCGCATTTGCCTGGATTGAACTCCATCTGCCATTTCTCCATCCAACTCTCCAATCTATCTATATTCTGCTGCATTCTCTGACAGTCCCCTTCACTATCTGCTACTCCACCAATCTTAGTGTCATCTGCAAACTTGCTAATCAGACCATCTATACCTTCCTCCAGATCATTTATGGATATGACAAACCACAGTGGTCCCGAGACAGAACCCTGTGGAACACCACTGGTCACAATTCTCCATTTTGAGAAACTCCCTTCCACTACAACTCGCTGTCTCCTGTTGCCCAGCCAGTTCTCTATCCATCTAGCTAGTACACCCTGGACCCCATGCGACTTCACTTTTTCCATCAGTCTACCATGGGGAACCTTATCAAACCCCTTACTGAAGTCCATGTATATGACATCTACAGCCCTTCCCTCATCTATCAACCTGTCACTTCGTCAAAGAATTCTATCAAGTTGGTAAGACGTGACCTTCCCTGCACAAAACCATGCTGCCTATCACTAATAAGCCCATTTTCTTCCAAATGTAAATAGATCCTATCCCTCAGTATCTTCTCCAGCAGCTTCCCCACCACTGACATCAGGCTCACCGGTCTATAATTACCTGGATTATCCTTGCTATCCTTCTTAAACAAGGGGACAACATTAGCAATTCTCCAGTCCTCCAGGACCTCACCCGTGCTCAAGGATGCTGCAAAGATATCTGTTAAGGCCCCAGCTATTTCCTCTCTCGCTTCCCTCAGTAACCTGGGATAGATCCCATCCGGACCTGGGGACTTGTCCACCCTAATGCCTTTTAGAATACCCAACACTTCCCCCCTCCTTATACTGACTTGACCTACAGTAATCAAACATCTATCCCTAACCTCAACATCCGTCATGTCCCTCTCCTCAGTGAATACCGATGCAAAGTACTCATTAAGAATCTCGGTCATTTTTTCTGACTCCTCGCATAACTTCCCTCCTTTGTCCTTGAGTGGGCCAACCCTTTCTGTAGTTACCCTCTTGCTCCTTATGTAGAGCAGTTAAGGGCAAGCCAATGGATGGTTTACTTGCACTTTCAGAAGGCTTTCAGTAAGACCCCACATAATAAACAGAATGTAAAATTAAAGTATATGTGTTTTGGAATCATGTACTGATATGGATAGAGAACTGGTTAACAAGACAGTAAATAAAGAGTAAGGATAAATGGGTGATTTTCTCAGTTTTAGGATGTGACTAGTGGCATATTGCAGGGATCAGTGCTTGGACCCCAGCTATTCAAAATCTATGTTACTGATTTAGATGAGGGATCTTAATGTAATATCTCCAAGTTTGCAGACAAGACAAAGATGAGTGGGAGGATGAACTGATGGGGATATAGAGATGCTTCAGTGAGAGTTGGATAAGTTGAGTGAATGGACGGAAAAGGGGAGGTGCAATGAAATCTGGATGTCCTTTTATACCAGTTGTTGAAAATAAGCATGCAGGTACAGCAAGCGTTGAAGAAAGCAAGTGGTATGTTAGCCCTCATTGCAAGAGGATTCAAGCATACTAGCAGTATGTCTTGCAACAATTGTACAGGCTTGGTAAAACGATAGCTGGAGTATTGTGTGTAATTTTGGCCTCCTTATCTGAGGAAGGATATTCTGGCTATGGAAAGACTGCAACAAAGGCTTACCAGATTGATTCTTGTAGGAAGAGAGACTGGATTGGTTAGGATTGTATTCATTGGAGTTCTGAAGAATGAGGGGGAAAATCTCAAAATTCCAACAGAACTAGATCGGGGAGTCCAGAACCAGTGGTAACTGTTTAAGTGTACAGGATGGATTATTTAGGACTGAGGTGAAGTGAAATTTCTTCACCCAGAGATTGGTGAGTGTGTGGAATTCTCTGTAAGAGAAAGTGGTTGAGGCCAAAACATTGACTTTTTTGTTTAAGGAGGAGGTGGATATGGTTGTTAGGGCTAAAGAGATCAAAGGATCTGGGAAGAAAGTGGAACAGGGCACTGAGTTGGATAATTAGCCATGACCATATTGAACATTGGAGCAGGTTCAAAAGGCCAAAGGCCAAACTCCTCTTCCTGATTTCTATGTAAACAAATATTAATAGCCCAAATAGAGGTATGTGCTGAAATGATGTAATGGCTAGAGTCGTATATGCCAGAATTTCCCAGAGACTCCTGCTCCGTGTTGAATTATCCACCTTCCGCAAGAACAATATATAAGATACCTGCTGGAATTTACATGTGTGGACATCTAGTAATACAAGATTGGGCTGTGCTGTGAATCCACCATAGTGCATACCTTAACTGATTAAATGCGCAACGTGCTGGTGCCGAGCAATCTAGTGGATTCACTACTGTGTTTACAAATGCTGAATGGATAAATAGACAAAGTAGTGAAGAAGCAATGTTATCTTTGAAATTGAACCCCAGTAACACTGCATTTTGTTGGAAATGTTTTGGGGAGGATGGAGGGGGCTGAAATTATGATAGAGAATCTATTTTAAGAGATAAAAGCAAACTTAGAATCTCATCTACTTTTGTGATTAATTTGGCAATGTGTTGAAATCTTAAAGAATCCAATACTTCAACCTTAAAATGCTTGTCATTTTATAAAATGGAGTATTACTGTACAAATTAAAAATGGACTAAAGTAAAAACCCATCATTTTTTAACAGGTTATAATATTTTCAGATTTTAATTTAAATCTTCGTGTACATGGGTATTATTGGATCGTAACTAGATAAAACTGACACAGAATAAAAACAAAGGAGCTATTTCTTTCTTGATTTAGGCCACCGTATATTAGGTCGCCTGGTTTTCCCAGTCAAACTGGGCCTGGTGGACGTCCTGTGTTTCCACCACAACATCCCAACTATGGCAACACTCAGGCTCCCATGATGTACCAGCCTGACCAGTACGGGTAGGTAGTTGTGTGATCTGCTATGGAACATGGTGTTTCCTGGCAGGACTTCTAACCCAACCACAAAAATAAGGGTTATTGTTTTGTGACTTTTTGTTCTGTTTAGTTTTGTTTTGTACTAACCAGAGCTATGAAAGAATGGAAAAAAGATCTGCATGTCTTGCACCTGCATGGCTTCTGGCATGGCTGCTCCTCTTCCTGTCTAATGGGGTAGTTATCAACTGCAATGCAATTACAAAAACACAAACTGTAATGCATTCCAAAATTGAAAGGCAATCTTACAAAAGAGTTATTTCACAGTCCTATTTGTAAGCTTGACTATCCAAAAACTGTACAAACTTAAATTTGACTCTCAAACAGGTCGAATGTCCTGATACCTTCAAGCACTGGATTGAGCATTAACTGAACAGCTTTAGTTACTGTGTACAAAATTAGGCCCATCTGGAAGCCTCAGGTATAGTACTGAAAAAATGTCCAGCTTGTTTGCATGGCAACAATCGTAAAAACTCACTTAAAGAGTGAGGGGAGGGTGGGGAAATACCATTGTTTGTTTTCTCCCTCCATTGAAGGCTCCTGGATGTGCCCCTTTGCCCCTGTATCAGAGTGAAGAAGACAAGATATTTCTTAGCTTAAGCTAGTGACCTGATGAGCTGACTGCAGAATAGTCTTGAGATGAGTCCCAGGTTTTTTTGAACTCCCTCTGTAGAAAGAAACCTGGTCCCTACCCTAGTAGACACTTATCAAGAATCAGTGATAGGGCAAGAATGGGCATCACCTTAAAATTCAGTGTGTTTTATTTTCGTTTAATAGAAAAATGATTTTGTTTAAAATAATGAATGCTGATGAAGTCATTGGGAAAATTATTTGGAAGTAATTATTCAACCTGTTAGTCTTGGAGTTAAATCTGCAGAACTGGTTGTTGACTCAAATTTGTAATTTTGCCATTTCCATTGCCTGTACCCAGGCCGCTTGCTGGCACTGTCTCCCACAATAATTATTATTTGCTATTTTGCCATTGAAGCAATTTCCCTTGTAAAGGAATGCATAGTTGTTAGAATTCTTAGTAAATGTTACATTTTTACCGATGATACGATGAACAACACTCAATCCTTAAGAAAACTTTACACCATTCTTATATGACAAATTAATTCAGTGCACATTTGCAGCACTGCACATTTCTTTTAACGTGAACCTGTTAAATTTCTTAACTGCAAACAGGACTGATTCCAAACTCTGTAAGATTTAGTAAAGTACATAAATCAATAATAAGTTTTTTTTTAATTATATGTGGTGTTTAAAGAGCCTTTCTTAAAAGTTTTTTTAAAAAATTGTCATGTTTGAAATATCTATAATAGTTGAGTCATCAGGTTTTTGGTGTGGAAAAAAATTAAAACATTTGGCAAGCGTAGCAAAATGATCATTCCAAAAATTTCCATATCAAATATTATAACATCTATATGTATATATAGAAGTTCCAACACAGACCTTTGATTCTAACAGGTCGATGCCATTGTTTATAGTCAACACACTTTATTAGGAATGAGTTGAACACAACTTCTCTCATCTTCCTTCATCCCACCTTATCATAAAACGTTCTGTTTCTTTCTCTCTTAAGTGTATTATTTCTGTCACCTCACTATTTGGTAGCAAGTTCACATTCTCATCATCCTCTGAGAAAAGGAGTGTCTTTACCTAATTGGATTTAGACTTCAGTGTTCTCACCACCAAGTCTGTTCAGTCTTTCTGTTAGTTTTGTCCTTTCAGTGCTAGTGCTGTCTTTGTAAGTCTTTAACATTTGCTTCAGTGTTTTTATATCCTTTCTCCAATATGGAAACTAGAACCGTATGGTAGAAACAGGTGGTATTCTCTGGTTACCTGTTTTATTCCCCTTTCAATATTCAATACTATTGAATTTAAAGCAAGGCTGTGGCATAGTGCATCTACCACCCAAAACAAATTTACATTCCTGTACCTTTACAGATATAGTTCACACTCTAATGCTGGTCTTTATGGACTGTAGTTTGGAGGTGAATTTTGGACACAACACAATACCCACATTATGGAAACAGTATTAGATTATAAAGAGTCGAAAAACATTTAGAGCGTTTACCCATAGAATCCTATTTGAAGTCAATAGACACTGCAGTACATCAGGGAGAGCATATGTTTCCTGAAATCTTCGTACCAGGAGGCAATAGCACCATTTAGGTTCGATTCTTCTGATTTGATGAGCATTCAGGGACAGGGGAGTGTTATTGCACATGAGGCAGGTAAACAGACTCGGAGGGCAGGAGCCTATGTCTTTGCAGTTGTTCAATTGGTTGGAGGCTCTTTCAGCTTGTTTGGTTGAGAGTGTGGGGCAGGGCAAATGAACTAACTGACTGTGGCACTGTGGTACAAGAAGCCATTCAAGCAGGGGAAGTGAAAAAGAATGTAATCGTAGGGGACTGAATAGTGAGGGAGCAGCACAAAGTATGAAATTGGAAGGTTTTGTTATCTGCCTGATGCCAGGATATGGGCTGCCCACTCTGGCATGAAGCAGATTTTGCACTGGGATGGAGAGTATACAGTCAGCATGGTCTGTGTACAGTAGATACTAAAAACATAGGCAGGACAAAGAAAGCAGTTTTGCATGGTGAATGTGAAGAGCTATACATTACAGTATGGTGCAGAAAAATTAGGATATGGGAGAAAGATAGACAAATATAAACAAAATACATAAAACAAACAAGTTCCTATAAATATTTGAATAAAAGTCAACAAAAGTATTGGTCCTGTCAGAAATGTGTGGAGAACTGATAATGGAAAATAGAGATGGCAGATAAATTGAACAGGTATCTTGCATCTGTCTTCACTACTGAGGGTATAAGTAACATCCTCGAAGCAACAAGAAGTCAGGAAAAGGAGGAGAGGGAACTTGAAAAAATTATAAACACCAGATAAGTGGTACTATTTAATTGTTGGAGCTGCAGGCTAACAGTGCCGCAGTTGAGATTTTACTCTCAAGTCTTAAAAGAAATGGCTGGTGAGATAGTTGATGCACCAGTTTTAGTTTTGTAAAATTTCCTAGATTTAGATTTTGTCCCATTAGATTGGAAGAAAGCAAACATAGCTCTTTTATTCAAAAAGGGAGGGAGACAGAAACCGGGCAACAGTATGACAATTAAGAGACAACAAGGTGCAGGGCTGGATGAACACAGCAGGCCAAGCAGCATCATAGGAGCAGAGAGGCTGACGTTTCGGGCCTAGACCCTTCATCAGAAAAGGGGGAGGGGAAGGGGGTTCTGAAATAAATAGGGAGAGAGTGGGAGGCGGATAGAAGATGGATAGAGGAGAGGATGGGTGGAGAGGAAACAAACAGGTCGAAGAGGCGGGGATGGGGCCAGTAAAGGTGAGTGCAGGTGGGGAGTTAGGAAGGGGATAGGTCAGTCCAGGGAGGACGGACAGGTCAAGGGGGCGGGATGAGGTTGGTCGGTTGGAGATGGAGGTGCGGCTTGAGGTGGGAGGAGGGGATAGGTGGGAGGAAGAACAGGTTAGGGAGGCAGGGATGAGCTGGACTGGTTTTGGGATGCGGTAGGGGGAGGGGAGATTTTGAAACTTGTGAAATCCACATTGATACCATTGGGCTGCAGGGTTCCCAAGTGGAATATGAGTTGCTGTTCCGGCAACCTTCGGGTGGCATCGTTGTGGCACTGCAGGAGGCCCAGGATGGACATGTCGTCTGAGGAATGGGAGGGGGAGTTGAAATGGTTCGCGACTGGGAGGTGCAGTTGTTTGTTGCGAACCGAGCGTAGGTGTTCTGCAAAGCGGTCCCCGAGTCTCCGCTTGGTTTCCCCGATGTAGAGGAAGCCACACCGGGTACAGCGGATGCAGTATACCACATTGGCAGATGTGCAGGTGAACATCTGCTTGATGTGGAAAGTCTTCTTGGGGCCTGGGATGGGGGTGAGGGAGGAGGTATGGGGGCAGGTGTAGCACTTCCTGCGGTTGCAGGGAAAAGTGCCGGGTGTGGTGGAGCCGGAGGGGAGTGTGGAGCGGACAAGGGAGTCACGGAGAGAGTGGTCCCTCCGGAAAGCAGATAAGGGTGGGGAGGGAAAGATGTCTTTGGTGGTGGGGTCGGATTGCAGATGGCGGAAGTGTCGGAGGATGATGCGTTGGATCCGGAGGTTGGTGGGGTGGTACGTGAGGACGAGGGGGATTCTTTTTTGGTTCTTATTGCGTGGACGGGGTGTGAGGGATGAGGTGCGGGAGATGTGGGAGACACGGTTGAGGGCGTTCTCGACCACTGAGGGAGTTAGCATTTGTCATAGGGAAAATGTTAGAAGCTGTTACTAAAGAGGTGAAAGTGGGGCATTTGCATAAGTTAAAGGTAATCATGCAGAGTCAACATAATTTTTGTGAAAGGGATTTTGTGTTTCACCAATCTATTGGAATTCTTTAAGGAAGTGACATGTTATGGATAAAAGAAAGCTAGAGGATTGATGCACTTAGATTTTTCAAAATGCATTTGAAGAAGTACCAGATCAAAAGTGTAGGAGATAGTATGAACATTTTCTATGAATAGAAAATTGGCTGGCTAACAAGAAACAGAGTAGTGAGAATTAGGTCTTTTTCAGGTTGGTAAAATGTAACAAATGGTGTATCACATTGATCAGTGCTGGGACCTCAACTGTTTACAGTTTATATGAATGACTTCCGCAGGGATCAGTTCTGGGACCTCTGCTCTTTGTGATCTTTATAAATGACTTGGATGAGGAAGTGGAAGGGTGGGTTATTAAGTTTGCCGATGACACGAAGGTTGGTGGAGTCGTGGACAGCGTGGAGGGCTGTTGTAGGTTGCAACGGGACGTTGACAGGATAAACTGGGTAAAGAAGTGGCAGATGGAATTCAACCCAGAAAAGTGTGAAGTGATTCATTTTGGAAGGTTGAATTTGAATGCAGAATACAGGGTTAATGGCAGGATTCTTGGCAGTGTGAAGGAACACAGGGATCTTGGGGT